AGCAAGGATATAATATCATTAAACATAATCGATCCGACCAATTTCATCAATTGCACTATATAATATTGATGTTATTATAATTTATATATAATTGTATATCAATCCAAATATTCTTAAAATATTATAACAAAATCCATTATTATGTGCAACGCAGGGTGAAAATACTAGTAATGTATAAAATCTAATCTCCAAACTACAAAACAAATTCTAATAGTAAAAAATATATAAGACGATGAAACATAAAACAAGTCACATTTAATTTCTTATGTCTTAATTGTTCTCATCAAAATGAGTTCTTTTCATTTGTTTCAATTGACAATTGTTGCATAAATTCTACAATAAGACACAAAAACTCATAAATCAAGTTAGAAACTCAACTTAACATTTTTTACTTTATATCCAAAAGTATAGCCTTTTAGAGTTTAAAATTTAAAAAAAAAAAAAAAAACAAAAACAAAAACAAAAAAAAAAATGAAAAACAAAACAAAGCAAAAACAAAAGATTACCAGAGAATTTCAATAATAAAAAATAGATATAAAAAAAAAAACAACTTACCGAAGAGAATTTTTTACTAATGGAATACTGATGAAGATTGTTACAAAGAAAGAAGATTGACAGATTAATTAGGTTCTTATGACCGAAAAAGTTTTAGATTTTTATGAATATATATTATTACAAGATATTGCAATTATTTCTAATAGTTACTAAAGTTGTAATTAAATTTAGGAGTTTAAATAGATTTAGGGATTTAGATAGATATAGGAAATTAGATAGCTTTTGTTAATTAAAAGTCAATAAGTTTTAATTATAATAAAATATTTTACAAATATAATAATTTAAAGTAATATATATTGAATAAAATAGATTTATTTTTGAAAGCAAATAAAATAGATATAAAGTACCACTACCGTGTAAATAATGTTTATGGTTAAAAATGCTAATCAATTCATTCATTGTATTAGAAATAATGTTTATGGCAGATAATTTTTGTTATATGAATGAATCGTTTAAATTATTATATAATTAATAAATATGTTTAAAAATTAAATAGGTAATAAGTAATAAATATGTTTAAGAAATTCAATAGTTTGTTAATTAGAAATAAAGAGTTTCGTAATAAAATACATAATAATTTAAAATGTTGATGAGGACATAGGACCCGGGGCTCATTTTCTTGGATAAGTACATCTTGGCCTAATGAAGTGAAGAAAGAGGTGAGCAAAATAATATAAGATATGCTACCATGTGGTTCGAACCCACACCCTCAAGCGTAACAACATGAATTCCAAAAGAAAACCCGCATGAGCAGCTCAACTGGTTATAGAGGTTAAAAGTTGGAAGAAGAATGAATTCCAAAAGGAAAGAAAAAGTTAATTTTGAAACCAATGTGAGACAACAAGTAAAGCCAAATAAACCTTCTTTTCTTTCAAGGTTTTCCTAACAAATATATCAGCATGCACTAATTGGAAGGACTATGTGGTCTAATGGTATCCGGGATGGACTTCCAAGTGGAAGGTTGTGATTTCGAGCCTCAGTGGAGGCGTTATTGGCTCTTTGTGTTTCAGTAGGTTGAGAAAGTATATGAACAGATACTACAATGTAATAGAGCTAGTAGCATTCAAAAAAAAAAAAAAAATATCAGCATGCACTAATTTTTTAAGCCTCACACAGTCACACGGTTAGTGATTTATTCTAAATATCAATACATATCATTTAAACATTTACCACATTTAAGCATAAAAATAAATAGGAAAAATTACCTTTAGTCCTACAATTTCATACTATCAAAAGTTGCAAAACGTATATTCATTTGAAATACGTGAACGTTGTATTTTAAACTTGTTGTACATTAAGATGTACATTATAGTTTGCAATTTAGTTATGATATATTGAGTACTCATTTTTATTCTTTTAAAAAATTATCAATATGATAGGAATTGGGTAGATCCACACGTGCTAGTTTTCAAAGTGACATGCATTGAGGTTAAGCGATTTACTCCAAATAACATCAATGTATTAGTATTTGATATTTACCACTATTAAACATAAATAAATAGACTTTCAAAAAAAAAAAAACATAAATAAATAGAATTTTCAAAAAAAAAAAAAACATAAATAAATAGGAAAACATATATTTAGCCATTCAATTATTCGTAATAAGGAAATTTGAATTTATATTGTCAAAAGTTGCAAAATATATACTGATCAAAAACACATGATGCAATGTTGTGAAATTGTTGTGCATTAATGATCACATTATAATTTCTATATTATTTAGTATGTATATAGTATTTTATATATTTTTAAAATTATCAATATGGTAGGAGTTAGATAGACAATCCTGTGTTAGTTTGAAATTGTCTTGCATTGAGGTTAAGCAAGTTACTCTAAATACCAATGTATTGTCATTTGAACATTTACTATTATTAAACATAAATAACTAGAGAAAAATGATTTTAGTTTTTCAGTTCATTTAGATTCCATACTATCAAAGTTACAATACATACATATATATATCCATTAGAACGAAACATGTGGAAGCGGTGTTGTAAATATATTGTGCATTAAGTTGCACATTGTAATTTATATATTCTCTCCGTCCCGAATTATGTGTCTTACTTTACATTTACACGGATTTTTAGGAAGTAATGAAAAGAATACTAGTTTTCCTATTTTACCCCCAACATGCCATGTGATGATTTGACCCTTCTATCACTTTATACTCAAATCACTTGTACTACATAGTACAAAGTACAATAAATGAACTCAAAAGTATGAAATGCACATAAGGGCAAAATTGGAAAAATAGAATGATAGTAGTGTTTAATTTAGGAAAGTGGACAACATTTTGGGACAAAGTAAAAAGGAAAGTAAAACAGGTAAAATGGGACGGAGGGAGTATTAGTTAGGATATATTGAGTATTAAATTTTTACATTTTAAAATAAAATTATCGATATGATAAGAGTTAGCTAGGTCCCCGGTTCTGGTTCAGGAAATGGTCAACGCAAGGATCTTACTTCGAAGCAATCTCTGGAGTTTTCCCTTATCCGAACGGGTCTTGCAAGAAAATAGGATTTCATATTGAGCTCCAATTATATGCTATTGGGATGGGATGGCTCCTACAAGCTTCCCCCCCATCCACCCGCCCTAAGAACCGCACGTGCGAGTTCCCCCGCATACGGTTCAAGTGGCGAAAGCCCTTTCCTTCGCGCTTCGCTGTAGTCAAGCTTACGTAGATTTGCATGTACTAATTTTAAAGCGTCATACATTAGAACTTTTGGGGCTAGTATTTTACTAACATTAATATAATATTATCATTTGAACATTTACCATTATTGATTTTAATCCTTCAATTTCCATGCAGTCAAAATTTGCAAAATATTTGTCTAGGTGACTAGGTTTGCACGATTGTGGTGATTTTGGCCATTCAACAAACAATGATTTGCATATAGATTAGACATTACATTATATAGTCCTAGTTTATCTCAATCTCATCTTTATTTCTATTAAATTTAGTCATTTCATGCAAAATCAAACACCCTCTACTTTGTTTTCCAAAAAAAAAAAAAAAAAAAAAAAAAAAAAAAAAAACACCCTCTACTTATAGAGAAAATGCTAAACCATGGGGTAAGTGGAGGTGAAATTAAGAATAAATAATGAAAAGTACTGAAATACCATCAAAATGTATGAATCTCAACCGTGTAATACCTTTTCATTCTCACGAAAATATTTAATTTATTCCTCCTAATCATTTATCATAATAATTTAAATATTAATATTTAATATATGGTGTAGAAAATATATTATTGATCTTTCATAAAGGCTTAGCTTGCACAACTCTAAAAAAATCCTAATACAATAAAATAGATAGTCATATTCAAACTTTAACGTCTAACCTCCGTAGTATTTTGAAATTGATACTATGGTCTAGTTTGACAAGTGAAAATTATCACTAAACGTTTTCAAATAATTTTTTTTCTGTAAAATTTATTTTAGGGAAAAAGGACTAGGCCCTCGAACTTTAGCTTAAAAGTCAATTAGACCCCTAAACTTTTTAAAGGTGCAATTACACTCATCAACAATTCATTAAGGTGCAATGAAGCCCAAAAACAAGTTAATGACCTGCTATCACAGGTCATTAAGGTTCAGGCCACCTTCCGGCAAAAAAAACGTGACCAGCAACCAACCCAGATTTGTCGAAAATTTCGTCGGTCACTTTTTTGTCAGAAATTTCACCGGCAACTTTTTTTTTGTCGGAAAATTCGCCAGAAGGTGACCTGAACCCTAATGGCCTGTGATAGCAGGTCATTAATTTATTTTTTGGCTTCGTTGCACTTAAATGAATTGTTGAGGGGTGTAGCTGCACCTTTAAAAAGTTTAGGGGCCTAATTGACTTTTAAGCTAAGTTCGAGAGCCTATTTGACCCTTTTCCCTTTATTTTAATACCAGTTATAAAATTTATATATCTATTAAACACAAATTTGAATTTAAAATTTGTTTTAAAAAATTTGATGAAGGATAAATTAAATTGACCAAATAAATAGTAAACGTAGAGGTGAGAAATAAATATTTGATCTTGTAATTGGGAAAGAGATGCAAGATTACAACCCGGAGCAGCATATTTGAATCATTATTGTGTGGACCATGGTCCATACAAATTGTGTGGATCATATTTTGTCTATTGTAAAATAATATACGTTCAATACAAAAATAATGTACATTATATTCAGGAGATGTACATTACTTTTGTTCTGAGTGTACATTATATTGTATAATGTACATTCAGTACAAAAATAATGTACAATTAGTATATTAAAAATGTACTTTTTTGTTATGATCCACATAACAATGTGTGGATCATGGTCCACACAATAATTTGCCAGCATATTTCAGCTGAATCAGAAGCTATGCTCTACTCCCCAATCCAATCCAAACCTAACCTCCAAGTATATGTTTGTTATTTTGAGCTTTAGAACTTTTAAGGATTTACAGCGTTCACTTAAGTACACAACTCCCTCCCCCTCACCTACTCAACTTGGACTTAGATCAATCCAAACCATTTTCTAGTCTTTACAACGTTGGGATGGCCACACTAAAGATTTCGCCTAAAACAATCTTTCTTCATAATCAATTTTCTCAAGCATTCACTAAAATTACAATGGTTTCTACTCCGTTCGCTTGAGATTCCTTCTGGTTGAACAGGCAGCAATCACAGCTTTGTTTCAGCACTGGTGTGTACATATACTCCAGTGAAATTAAATTTCAGAAGCTCAAACTGTGTTTGAGGTGATGCCCTCAACCTCAAGTTTGGTTCATTAATGCACACTTCTAGCCATCATAGCTTCCATTTAATAGGGACCATTTCTCCTGCTCAAGAGTAAACTTACTACACGTGAGATATCCAATCAAGACACGAGAGATTCTATAGCTTATACAGAAGTGGTATAGTATCAAGTATCAACCTACACTCCAGTAAAACTGTGAAAGAAACATCTGTCAAACCTTAGACACATTCACTTTGAAGCGAATAGTATAGATGTAAATCCATCACTTGGTTGCCAGACTTGTCTAACCATTGAGATGAAGAGCCTTTTTCTTGGTAAGCTCCGTCTCTTCTTTCATCAGAGTAAGTCTGGAGGAACATGGGCTAGACTGCCTAGACAACAATTGCTGAAAGCAAAATGATAAAAACCCACCTTTTATTTTACAAAAATTCAGATACACACACATGTACATGTACATATAGTCATCATCATAATCATATAGGGCATTTTATGTTACATAGTTCCTAAAGTTGACATTTGTTAACACATATACCAAATAACGAAGAAAGTTGGTGAAACATGCAATCAATAGAAAACAAATATGCCATTCAGATATATTATATTGCTTAGCCACTTTGACAACTCGGATTTGGAGCAGTATGCTTTACCATAGATACTGGCATATTGCTCAGACCTTTCAACAAATTGGAGGATCCTAAAACAAGATTCCAAATCATCATGCTTACTATCGTGACAGGAAGGAGTAAAGAGATGGATATACCTGATGTATAAGGAGCTTATAAAGCCATCTCTGTTGAAAAATGTCAGCCATAAACTGCCAGTACATCTGCCAGACATGCATGCCTAAACACCAGACAAGTGCACATCCAATCTCATATATAGTCCCACACTATTTTTTTTTTAAAAGCCCAATACCTAAGAGATTCAGCAGAAGTGGAGCATGCAAAGTGAAATCGTTGCTTCGTTATGGTTTAATGTTAGTTGATTGCAAAATATGAAATTAAAGGAATGACCTTGCATGGAGCCAGAGCATCTAAAGCAATTAAACTCCTCCAGCATCTAGCTGCATGGCTGATGAAGCATAACACTCCGGCAACATTGTCTAAGGACAAAATAAGCATTCAGCCTATCTTTGACAATCTTTTCCGCTTTCTATTCTTGCTGCGTGCAGTAGAATTTATTGCACCACTCTGAGAACTAGGGGGCAGAGTAAGTGCTGATGTTGGTTTGCCACGGGATGTTCTGCGTTTCCTAGATATCCATCTCAAAGGCATATTGTTAACTATGTTGCCTATGTTATTGGAACTATTCAGCTCAACAAGATTTTGAATCTGATCAAGCATCTGCTGTGTCCACGCTGTTGAGAGATCAAGTGCTACTGAGTCATCCATTGGCTTTTTCAATAGATTCATTAAAATCTCTTGGAATGACTGAAATGACATGGAAGATCGAAAGCCCTGAATACTTCCGCATATCATATTGACCTTGATGACATGCTTGCAAAGGTTTCCTTGCATTGACCATTCACAATCACAATGAGCAAATTCAGATCCGGGATTCCAAACAAGGCGTGTAACGTTGTTGTCTTTTTGACTTAAAACCTTAGCAAAGTGGTGTTGTGATTGTTGTCTACTTTCGAAGGATACAGCTGCATCAGGAATTTGCAGTGCTCGATACCATGACGTAGAAGCAATATATTCTTCCTTGACATTTTGGAATGAATCACTCTCATCGGCATATCGGTCAAGCCAGTAGCTTGAATGCAGCTCAGTTGTCAACTTGTGGACCAACCAATCAACTCTCTGTAATGCACCCAGATGTGAATCATCATATAGTTTTGCTTTCAGTTTTACATGATATGCTTCTATTGCACCAGATGATTCCTGGCTTGCAAGTGGAAATGTCTTCATTGTAGTTAGCCACATTTCTGTACAACAAAAGACCAATCAAATTAAAGAAAAATATAGACAACTGGATGAGATTTAATTTTATATGAACTAGTTCTCCACTTTTCTGGAGAGGAATTTGCTGATCACATGCATGCATACAGCTTAGGATAGTGTCAACCTAACCTATTTTAGGCACCCAAGTAGATGTAAAATATTGCATAAAGGCAGTTTGATCAACAAAGTCTCGAGTGAGTTCCTCTAAAGCAACAGCCGGATCACCTCCACCCCAAATGCTGTAAACTATATCACCTAGGCGCTTAAATATCTCCCTTTGCACTTCAATATTACCACATTTCTTACAAATATTTCTCAACCAAGATCTACGAATACGCCAAAGGGAAAATATTAAAGGACAAGAAAATGCCTCCCTGCAAAACCAGTAAAAAACAGTAAATGAAGTAACAAACTGCAATCAAGAATTCAATTGGCACAATTAAACATTGAGCAAGGAAACTTGCCTTATCGGATCAGCCTCTATTGCGGCATCATCAATCAAAAACCCATTGACTTTCCATGCTGGATCAGTTGTGTGTACACGACTAAACAAAGCTTTCATCCATTTGCTCACATCTAACTTTGCAATACTTTGGGTGATGATCCATGCAACAGGAAGTGCATGTTGCCTTGAGTCAAAAACAAGAAGCGTGCACAGGGGATACTGCAATATGCCCAAATTATAAAATGAGAACAAGTTATGATGGATTTTGAAAATTAGTGAAAGAAATAGAAAAGATGTACAACCTTGAGTTTCTTTATTCCAAATGTAGAATCAACTGCTATAATACTACGATGACCAAAGCGAATCATTTGTTGCAACTGCCACTCAGTTTGAATTCCTAAGATGAATGGGTCCTTTTCTGATGGATCTTGATAAATGAAAATAGATTTTTTGTTTCGTTCAACCCACATCCGAATGCTAGCTTGATCATCAAGATCCAATTCATGAGTGGAACGTTTAATAATCATGCCAAGCTTTTGAACATACTGTGAGGCAAGGCTATTAACTTTTGCATCGGAATTACAATAACGTTGAATGCCTTCAATGTGCTTCTCTAAAACATTTTCCTCAGGAATGCCAAGATAGATCATAGACATAGTTTGCTGTTGAATCTCATTGCAAATATATGGGATCTTTTTAGCACCAGGTCCAATAGCATCTCTATCAAGTGGTCCATGGCACACAAAGCCAGACTTGTTGACATGACGCCTATTGTTAAATATTAGGAGTGCAAGGGACGGGCAGGCATACAAACGCTTCACCACGAAATGGCATGTACATCCCCTCATAGATTGGGGTCGAGCAGCGCGGTTTCGAGTGTTGAGTCGATACCTTCGGCTTGGTAATATACCTCCTCCTTCTCCATAGTTTTCAGGGCCAAATGAACACCAATACCTAAAGGAAGAAAAGAAGGGCATGAGTAAAACCTCAACTAATATTAGTTCTTTCCATTTCTCAATATGAAAGACAAAAACCATATAGCTAGATATTTCATATATTGAGCAACAACAAGACATGATCCACAATGGAAGCCATGCATGGCTTAATCATACTTAATCATGCATTATGTCAGTTAAGTCTGTTCTCAGTAAGCAACTAACTAAAGTGATTTAAACGTTATGGAACTCAATTCCAGTGATTAATTCTAAATAAAATTGTTTTCAGAAATAAAACCGTTATTTTAGTTTTTCCTTTCTATGCTGGCATTCCTCTAATGTTGTTTCAACATAATGTTGCAAGTCTAGTCTTGAACCTCCAGTTAACATCAAGATATAATTTCAGCACAGTTTGCAATCAAATAACAATCAGAACGATGATCCTCAATTATAGTTCATGCCTTATCTCTCACATTCCACACACAAGGTGGGACCAATTGAAGAGTAGGAGGGAGGGAGGGATAGGGGAGTACTTACATCCTGTACTCCAAGTATTCATCAGGCCTATATTCTTTTAAACTCCCTTCAACTCGTTTCCTCCCCCTCTCAATGTGGAATCTTGTTGGGCATTCCACATTCGAACATTCTCCGATAATGAAAGCATCAACACGGTCATAAGGAATAAGGGCAACCTCATCTTGGTGCTCTGCACTCCCAAACTTGGTCCAATTCAAATCAGCAGATGAGAAGTCTTCCCCTGGCGGGTTTTGCACAACAAGACTTTGAATGGACTCAACTATATCCATCCCTGAAACATTCCTAACAGTTAGTCAAATTGTAACTTAAATCACCAGCAGCAAATAATTTATATCCAAACAAACTGCAACAAACTAGGAAATGCAGTCAAAAGACACCAGTTAAATGATTTTAGCTCTGACAATATCATTTCCGAGATTATATTTGAAAAATGAAGATAGGAACTTTTTGATGCATCCATTCTTTTTGGTCTTACCTAATCCCTCCTAAAACCTCCCTCCCAATTTCCCCTCTAATTGGATTATTTAGTATTTAATTAAAAGTGGGGTAAGCCAATTCATGGCACTCAATAAATATTAAACCACGTCATGTGGGGAAAATATTAGGGGAAATTTAGGAGGGGTAAATAGCATTTCCTTGATGATAAGACGATTGAATTTTATGGATGAATATAAATAAAGCCAATCAAAAACTCCCTAATTACATTTACAGAACCTTCTAACCATGTTATGCAATCGTTTCCATTAACACCATCACTAGTCATTAGTTTGGCTAAAGCAACGTAGCTTCCATAAAGTATAACTCGGAAATCCATAGCAGAACTTAGCAGTCAAGGATTGAGAACCTCATTGAAAATTGAGGAACGCTACCTAAAATCCTAATTTCTTCAATAAAGTACAGAGCAAAATATCAAATATTGTACCATATTTCCAATCCGTACTAAATAATTTTTCAAAAACCAGCCGTTCCAGATTACTCCAAAGTCCTTGAATGCACAGGCGAACAAATAAACAAATGAAAAGGAAAAGAAGAGTAAACTCGCCATTCCGACGAAGAGGACGAACCTGAAAAGCTTCGGCCGGATAAGAGAGAAGCCGAGACACGCCGGAAGTGGCAACGGAGATGAGTGGAGTGTATTTCTTTCTTTTCGACGGCGGGGAATTTACAGGGCCGACTTTTCAAGGTATGCTTCAATCACCGGAATTTGAAGTGAAGAGACGAAAGCAACTAAAATGAAAAATTAGGGATCATTAAGAAGAGATAATGTCATTTTGACCCCTGAGGTTTATTAAGGTAACAATGGACCCCTTATTATATTAAACATTACACCTAAACCCTTTGCGTTATACTACTTTCCTTAGTTTCCTATTTCACAATAAACACACATATAATAAAGAGTTAATTATCAAAATGGTCCCTTGACTATAGTGAAATTATCAATTTGGTCTTTGACTATTTTTTTTGACCAATTAAGTCCCTCAACTTTAAAAATCTTAACCAATTTGGTTCTCTATTTGTTTGACCGTTAGTCAACCGTTAACTTGGGACCAAATTAGTAATTCGCTATAGTCAAGGGACCATTTTGGTAATTACTTTTAAGGGTCGGCAATTCGGTAATATACCGAACAACCAAATGGTAATAGATTCTTGTATACCGAACGGTTCGGTAAAAACTCGAACTGAACTGAATTGTTCAGTAAAAACCGAACCGAACCGAATACCGTTTGAACTTTGGATTGCTATTTTGTTATATATTAGACTTTGGATATGGATTCTGTAAACACCATAACACATAATATAGAACTTTTGATAACAAACCATAAAGAAATCAAATAAAACATTTACAAGAGATACCCGTGAGAATATGAGCTGAACGGCAAAGCAAGCAGCAGGGGACTTGGATTTACTTTTTATTTATTTATTGTTTTTTTATTTAAAAAAAAAAACCAAACAGTATTCGGTCCAATTCAATTTTTTACCGAACAATTCGAATCGGTTCGGATCAATTTTTTATCGAACCGTTCGGTATACAAGAATCCAATACCGTTCGGTTGTTCAGTATATTACCAAACCAAACTATCTCGGTACGGTTCAATTCGAGAAAACTAAACCGAATTGCCTACCTATAAAGTTAATTACTAAAATGGTCCCTTAACTATAGTGAAATTACCAATTTGGTCTCAAGTTAACGGTTGACTAACGGTCAAACTAACGGAGGACCAAATTGGTTAAAATTTTAAAAATTGAGGGACTTAATTGGTTAAATAAAAATTGTCAATGACTAAATTAAAATTTCGCTAGAGTTAAAGGACCATTTTGATAATTAACTAAATAATAAACTAAGGAGTAATTTATATATATTCTATAATATTATAATTGTTGTAATATATTCTTTGTGTGAATGCATGTTATACCAAGTTTATGTCCTTTTTTGTGCTAAAAGACACATGTAAATTGTACATAAAATGTTACAGATTACATATTCTGCAAACAAAATTTTCCCACCTCGTTAAATAACAAAATTACCTATTATTATTGGTCCAACTATTTAGTGTTATTAATTAATTAGCAACTTTTGTATCAAATTAGCATTATCTATGCATATACACTTTACAATTAAGTTTTATTTAATAATTAAATAAAATTTATAAATATGGATACTTCTACAATTTCGAAATGTACATGATACTTCATGAAATTATACCCTCTTCATTCACAACTCTAGAAAACATGTAATTGACACCAAACATATATTATGATACAACTTCACCAAAAATAGAATTAATACTTTCAATGATCCCCGAGTATTAACGATTTACCAACCGTGATCATCCGAGTTTTAAATGACCTCTAATGGTCCTCCATGTTTTAAAAAATAACCGCTGGACCGCAATCCTGTATAATTGCTGAAATACACCCAATGTGAGCGGGTGGCGAATAGTTAAGTTTGAACTGAATTATCTGAATTTTATTATACTCCATAAAATATATTTTATATTAATTAAATAATACTTATGCAACCTTATTTCTGTTGATTATTTAGAATATAATTTTATAAATGGCGTATAAACACAAAACAATACTTTAAAAATTCCCTTAAACATCAAACTTCAAATTGAAAGAAAATGTTGTTTTCTAGTGTTTGGTTCATAGAATTTATTTTCCATTGGAAAATGAATTCCCCAAATTTGAGGAAAACAAAATCCTTAGTTGGACCAAGGATTTTGTTTTCTATGAAAAATGAGAAGAAAAAGTAAATAGATTGTCCATTTTACCCTTGCTTTCTCTTTTAATTATATTACTTTTATTAATTTGTAGGAACATATACGTCTTTATACTCATTATTCCTTACAATTCCAAATCTAACCAAACAATAGAATTAATATTCCCAGTCATTCTTTTTCCACCAACCAAACAATGAAATTCATCTTCCTAGTAATTATTTTTCCATGGAATTCCAATTCCACTTCCCTTGAAACACTTTCCGCAAACCAAACGAGCCCTTAGGTAAAAAATATATCTCTAAGAAATGTACCACATAGATAGATAATTAAGTTCATTCCGAACAAACACTAAAAGAAAAACAAACACAAAAGGCTATGCAACGCCACCAGTTTGAAGTTTGATCCGGCCATGCAACATGATTCAAGTCTGCTGTCTGCAGATGCACTACGAAAACAAACACAAAAGGCTATGCTATAACAGTCTCACAGCCTCCATAGGATACTAAAACTATATATACAATCCATAGTAGTCATCATTCCAACTTTGAAAAATCGGGACAGAACCCCGTCACGCTTCAGCAGAAAAACATTGAACTCGAGACCTTTTCTTCTAGTCGGGGCAACTGAGGAACTGGGGCTGGACCTGCGTTTGGTCCCCCACCACCATGGCTTGAAGATGTCTCGGACGTATCTTCAAATTTCATCCACTGTCCCAACTGGGTGGCAGCCAAATGAGCATAGCAAATAGGAGCAACTGCACACATATCAACACAGTTAATGATAAGCTCAAACAAAGATGAATAGAAGAGACCATGGATAGTTACAGAATGAGTTAATTCCACTAGAGGTCTCTTATCTTTTGGTGGCAATTCCAAATTTAGTCCCCTTTTTGCCATTTTACATCCCAGACTATCATTTTGGACACTTTACGATAGTCTGAGACGTAAAATGGCAAAAACGATAGTCTGGGACTAAATTTGAAATTGCCACCAAAGACAAGGGACCTCTGGTGGAATTAACGCTTACATAAGTTTATCATCTAATTGTAGATGACAAATTTGAAAAGTAAATGTTGGGATAAGTTTAGTGAAATAGAAGAGAATTACCAACAGATACAGCAGTGGTGCTCTTTTGGTACCTGCAAAAAAAATACCAACCACTTTACGATCAATATCTTTTCAAGTTTAGCGTTCCTGTGTAAACAAATGAAAATAAAAACCAAAATGCTATTCCGCTCCACTACTCACACATAGGATAGGCTGTGCACAAGTTCTTGAAGTTCATCAGCTGAAAATCCAACCTCGTCATAAAGAACATGGTAGTGTGTTGGTCTTGTGGTCCCCTATGAAACAATTATTTAATAATGTAAGTATCTGTATCAAGGTAACCAGTGTTGCAAAAATCGTGCCTAGGCGCTAGGCGGTCGGCCTCCTAGGCACCCGCCTAGACGTTCTAGGCGCTCTAGGTGGTCCCCAGGCGCCTAGCGATTTTTTCAACATTGAAGGTAACACGTAGAGAAAGCTTGCAGATCTATTCATTATTTAGGCATTTCAAATAAACGTAATTCAGATCAAATGGAATAAATGTACAAAAGAAAAAGACCTTATTAAGTACTCCAAACTACACTAAAATAAACAGAAATCAAGGGCAAAAATATAATACTTACAATCATTCCTGCATGAGCACACAAGTAAAAGTCATTGTTTTTCGGATGACAAACTTTACTATCAATAATTGTCCCTGCACTCAAGGGAGCATTAAAATCAACTTTGTCCTACACAAAAGCTAATAAATATTGTATATGCAGTTTAATCTGTAACAATACCAGGTTGAACATTATCAGGAGACCCAGGTTGGAAGAACTTGGTGTGATGATTCTTCTGAGCAACAATGACCGTAAACTTGGGCGACCATTTCTCATCAAGAAATTTACAAGCCTACACAAAATGCAAAACGAGACTTAAAACATATTTTGTTTTGTTTTTTCTAGATCAAACTCTTCACCAAAACGGTACCTCAATGATCTGATCAAGTTCAATGTTAAGAACTTGATTGAATTGGGATTCACTGACACCATCCCTGAAAAGTCGAGAGCAATCAGTAAAATTCTAGAGGAAAAAAATGGTTCTCACAAATCATAACAAATCAAGAAAGAGAGGCTACAAATTTACCTGAAGATTATAATTTGGTCAGGCTTCCTTTTCCCAGAACTAACATAAAAGTCTAGCAATAGCTCCCTGAAAGCAAGAAATTTGAATATAATCACTATGGCAACGTATAACTTTATTTCAGCAAATGCAATTGGAATAAATTTTCATGACTCGGAAGACAAGGAAACTAGAATATTAGTTGCATGTTCAAGAGTTTCTATGGTCCCCAAATAAAATAAGAAATTATATTATACAAACTAAATAAGGTCAAAAACCGGATAATACTCTTCAATTGTTTTCAGAAACTAGAATTACCTCATAATTCCATCATCTTGTGTGTCAGAAACACGTTTAAACAAGTTATCAATCATTTCAACCTTTGCAGACTGAGTACGCACTGATGCTCTATAACGAGAAATAAGAGGCCACTGCCTCGAACTCACAACCTGTTCAAAATTATAAAGTAAAGATAAAAGGCATACAAAATCAAAATCAAAATTGAATATAAATTTCTTCTCACGCGTATAATCTCCTATGCATAACCACAACTTTTAAAGAGCCAAACAGAAAAGTACATAACCAATTGGAACAATAATTGAATCAAAAGAAAATTGAAGACGCTATGATGTACCGCAGCAATTGACGGAACGTCAGTCTGACCAGGAGAGCCATGAGACACATCCATCCCAATAATAATGGTGGGAGCCTTTGAAACAAGTGGGAGAGAAGGAGAATGTTCAACAGTCAACATTGAATTCAGCCCTCCAAGCTGTAAAGAATCAGAACATGATTTAGGAACAAATCTGATAAATTAAGTTTGCGGAAAAAAACAA